GGCGTTAAATCATCTTCAAATAATAGTGGGTCCGCAAAGACAGCGGCAAATACATACAAAGCAGTGGCGGCGAGCGCTGTGGCAACGTCAGACCTCGTGCTCCTTGGCGTGGGACATGCACCAGCCTTTGCGCTGGGCCCACTTGAGGCACTTGGGTGCCTTGCAGCGCTCGCCACCACTGTTGCGGGTTCTGCCCGTGATCCGAGAAAGCACGTGCTTGCAGCTCTGCGTGCAGACGAAGCGAGTCTCAACAACCACCGTGCATGCGGCACAGTTGCTTGAGATGCGCCTTCTTCTTGCAGCCGTCGACGGCGCAAAACTTGCCACCGCCGTGCGACTTGCACAGCCCCCGCGACTGCGACGCGCGGTGGCAGCCGTCAAAGCGGCAGCGCGAGCCACCGCCGTGGGCGATGCACAGGCCGCGGCTTTGACTGTTCTTGAGGCAACCCGCATGGGTGCATTGACGGGCGCCGCCGTGCTTCTTGCACTTCTGGTGCGATCGGGCGCGGTTGTTGCAGCCGGCATGAGTGCATGTCTTGCGCGCGCTCGAGTTGGGTGAGTCGGCGCCGTCGTCGTTGTCCATATCGTCGTCGGCCACGTCTGCAACGGGAATTGTGACACGCAACGGCGTGCTTGTCGGCGGCATCATCGAGGCAGGCAAGAAGGACGTTTGCGCGGCCGGCGGCGTCGCGCGCGGCGCTAGCGGTACGCGCTTCTGTGAGTCCTTGGCCTTGGTCGGCATGGTGTCGAGGCCAAACGAGTAGGGCAGCGGCGTGATCTGGTCCATTTCCTTCTTGGCACACATCATGGTCCAGTCGAGGTTGTCGCCTGTCGTCGTGCTAGTGGCGTCGCAGGTGTGAATGTCGGCAATGTTGGCATTAAAGTTGAGCAGCGGCAGGTCGTTCTCGTCGGACGGCAGCTCGAGCGCGTCCAAGTCGAAGTTGAATGGGTCGAGCTCCATGTCGTAGAGCTCCTTCTCCATAAAGAGCGGCTGGTAGACGCCATGGTCGGCCGCGGCCACCACCGTCAGCGGGAAGGCCTTGCTCTCGTCGAGGAAGGACTCCATGCGCATGAGCCGCGTCACGAGCGTCGGCGCGTCGCCGAGCGGCTGCAGCTTGTCGATGCTCATCGTCGTCGGCAGCGTCTGCTTCTCCACGGCCAAATCGGCGAATGTTCAGTCCAACGTACTGGGCGGCTGCGACCTTCACTCGTGCTCCCGGCGTTTGCATACAAACATCAAGTACATTTGGGCGGCCGGTTTTTTCAAAGTCTTTTCTTTAATGCCCGACACCCTGTCTTTTAATACGCGCACTGGCTTTTCCAGGGCGTTTCACTTGGTTTTTGTATGCTGAACCCACAACCGGCGTGGAGTAAAAGAATTGTCGGAAAGGTATCTTGTCCTTTAAAGAAAACAAGCCTCTTCGAGAAATTTCGACCGGTTTGACGTGCATTCAATTGGGTGAAACCTCTCAGAACGTATACAATCAGATTTCACATTGTAGGAATGATGGTGACCCGTGAACTGGGCGGTCGGCTGGCGCTGCGTCAGGGGCGCGCTTCGAATGGCGCCTTGTGATTGGATGAAATCAGCTTTAGTGGCGCACTGTGATTGGTTTAGACGTAGAGACGCGACCAACGCTGGTGCCAACGACGGCAAGGAAGAAATTTCTTGTGCGGTTGACTGGCACCGAACTCGAGAGTCGATGATGGTCCACGACAACGCGGCGTTTGAATGGCTGCGGCACAACTTGATTTTTGCTGCTCCGTTTGATAATTTGAATCGTTATTATGCAAGGCAAAGTTTCATCCTGGCAAGATTTGGCTCGTTTTGGCAGGCACCGAGTGCATGATTATGGTCTTCTTGCTTGGTCCAGATGATGGCAAACGACCTAAAATTTAGCTACTACTTCTTCTGGGGCGTTCCGATTTTTTACATGGACGCGACGATGACCTTAGCGTCCCGTCAACGCACATCCCAGCCACTTGGATAGTGTAGTGCGCACTGGATCCGTTCTTGAAAGAGTGTGGCAGACGAGCACTTGGAGACGAGCGAGCTGCGTGGATCTCGCATCTTGGTATCAACTGATATGCGTGCGACGAGTCAAGTTGAAGTCTTGTTGGCACAGGTATGCGCTGCGATTGTACTGTACGGGTGTAAACCGACGACGACCGTTAATGGATACACCTACGGAGGCGCCAACGTTGCGTCTCTCAAGACACAATTTGTCGAGGATGAAAGGAGAAACAGGTACTTGTGATGCGGTGAAGCGGCACACAAGCTTCGAATTTTATTTTTCAACGACGGTACAGTGTACTAGCACTCGCGATCTAGTTGCAGCGATCCTTGCTGGTTCGTTCGAGCTCCACTATGCGTAGCGGCCTCTGTTTCGATGCAGCATTCCTGCGTTGCCACGTGCGTTCGAGTGGCTTAGCACGGATGTAAACAGATTTGTCAACGAAAAAGACGACAACTCCCACATATCATTCTCTTGCTCGGATGCCTACTCGTACGCTTGCGGCAGTTCCCAGGCTCTTGGAATACAGGAGTCCTATGCATGCCACTTCGACTTGAGAAACCAGCAAATCGGGCGGCGAGTTTGGCGAAGCTGACGCCGGTCTTGGTTGTTGGTCGTCGGTTGTCGTCGAAAGTTCCGCAGTCGACCCTTGCCAGCAAGGATCAAACATTGTCCACGCAGCCAAGAAAGATCTTGTATCGTTCTTCTTGAGGTGTAATTGTCATGGCGTGGGTTCCGTGAATTCATCGCGTTAGCCAGCACACGTGCGACTACAAAAGAGCAAGACGAGCCCTCGCGCCGCCGCCTGCGCAGCCACGGCCCAGGTTAGCGAATGCAGAAGGAGATTGCTAGTCTCTCCGTATGC